ACAGTAGAGTAGAGGACGCTGAGAATCAAATCAGCAATTTGAAACATGAGGAAACAAAAAACACCCAACCAGAAGAGCAAAAAGAAAAAATAATCCAGAAGTATGAAGATAGTATCAGGAGCCTCTGGGACAACTTAAAGAGGCCCAACATTCATATTATTGCGTGCCAGAAGGGGGAAAACAAGAGTAAGAAATTGAAAACCTATTTGTAAAAATAATTACAGAAAACTTCCCCTACCTGGAGAAAGAAATAGACTTACAAGTCCAGGAAGCACAGAGGGTCCCAAACAACGAGGAACCCAAAGAGGATCACAGCAAGACACATCATAATTAAAATGCCAAAGGTTAAAGACAAAGAGAGAATCTTCAAAGCAGCAAGAGAAAAGCAATTAGTTACCTACAAGGGAGCACCCATACGACTGTCAGCTGATTTCTCAATAGAAAGTTTGCAGGCCAGAAGGGATTGGCAAGAAATATTCAAAGTGATGAAAAACATGGAACTACAACCCAGATTACTCTACCTGGCAAAGCTATCATTTAGAACTGAAGGTCAGATAAAGAGCTTCCCAGATAAGAAAAAGCTAAAGGANTTTGCAGGGCAGAAGGGAGTGGCAAGAAATATTCAAAGTGATGAAAAACATGGAACTACAACCCAGATTACTCTACCTGGCAAAGCTATCATTTAGAACTGAAGGTCAGATAAAGAGCTTCCCAGATAAGAAAAAGCTAAAGGAGTTCATCACCACCAGAGCAGCACTACAGGAAATGTTGAAGGGTCTTCTTTAAGAAGAAGCTAATGAGCCTGGCCGGGTGTGGCTCAGCGGTTGAGCATCGACCTGGGATCCATGGGTTCGATTCCCGGTCAGGGCACATGCCTGGGTTGTGGGCTCGATCAATGACTCTCTCATCATTGATGTTTCTATCTCTCCCTCTCCCTCTCCTTTCCTCTCTCTGAAATCAATAAAGATTTTTTTTAAAAAAAGAAGCTAATGAACAAAAGAATCTGATGAACTAAATAGATCCAGAGACATTGATGCATGTAACAGATGATCGTATTTCAGAAGGAAGAGGGAAGGGGGGTGGAGGGTGGGGGAAGAGATTAACCAAAGAAGTTATATGCATATATGCATAACCCATGGACACAGTCAATAATGGGGTGAAGTCCTGGGGAAGGGGTGGGAGCGAAGTGGAGGAGGTCAATTGGTGGGGGGGGGAGGATGGGACACCTGTAATACTTTCAACAATAAAGATTTTTAAAAAAATCTCTGGGCTGGAGGATATATCAATAGAATCCTAGAAAAAAACAAAAAGCAAAGGAAGCAAAGGCTGAAACAAAAACAGAAAGGAATATTCAAGGACTATGGGACAATGCCTAAGGATAGTTCCCACACAATGGGAATACTGGAAGGAGAAAAAAGAAAGGAACAGAAGGAATATTTGAAATAATAATGACTAAGAATTCCCCCAAATTAATGTCAGAGGCCAAACCACAGATCCACGATGCTCAGAGAACACCAAGCAGAATAAATGCTACACTTAGGCATACCATTTTCAAACTATAGCTAATCAAAGATAAATTTAAAAACCCCAGTGGAAGCCAAAGGGAAAAAAATCTTACCTTTAGAGGAACAAAGAATTACATCCAACTGCTCAGAAACCACGCAAGCAAGAAGAGAATGGAGAGATATTTACAGTGTTGGGAGAAAGTGAGGCACAACATGATCAAGGAACAACTAGTAAGTTGCAGAGTTTAGCTTGGAACACTGACACAGATAATAATTAGAAGACTTCTAAGTTAAGAGAGGCAACATAGTACTGCAGGGTAGTGTGGACTCAAGCCAAAAGCTAGATTCAGTTCTAGATGCCTCTTACAATCAGTGTGATCTTGGGCAAGTTAGTTACCATCTCTGTGCCTCAACTTCTTTGTCTGTGAAATGGGAATAATGGTGCCTACCTCACAGGGTTACTTTGAAAATTCAGCAAGTGGCTATTTCAAAAGCCTGGCATGGTAAGCATTATCTTGGAGCTTGTCAAATCCTGTTCTCATCTTCCCTACTATTTATTACTTGTAATTCCACATGCCACATTCATCAAGGAAGATGCCAGCTCTCGCCCGTCACTGGTGGACTCCAGCACTACCTCCCACAGCGCCCCTGCTAGTGGCAGAGCGCCAGGCTCTTGGCCCAGCACTGTGCCATGGCGGCCTCCCCGGTGGAGCGCCCGTGCAATGGCAGGCACACTGGCTGATGAATCCACTGGTGTGCACCGCCTCACAGTGCGGGGGGGCTCTTTGGAGCCGCTGGAAAGTCAGAGACCCATCTAAGTTCTCACAGGGGACTGGAAGCAAGCTGCAATGTATATTTCTTCATATGTAAGGGAATCTCATTGGCTTGCTGTCCGGACCCAGTCAGGCCGCGTGCTGTGTGCTTCCCAGAGTCTGGAGCTGCTGCATTTCACAGCAACACGGAGGAGAGGTACCCACGGTGACACGCGCACAGGCACGCTGAGGAATTACAACAGAAAGCGCAAGGAGCGCAGGGCCGAGAGGGGCGGGTTCCCTTCAGTGGCTGACACCACGCAGGTGTGTCTAAGTGCGGGTTTCTTTCTTCTATCCTAACTTGGCATCTGTTGTATTTCTTGAACCGGAGGGTTCATATCTTTCCCCAGTTCTGAAAAGCTGTCAGCTGTATCCCTTTGCCTGCTGCCCCTCCCTCGTTCTCCTGGCACGCCTTTTCAATACATTGTTAGTCCTTCTTGCTCTGTCATACATATATGTTAGCTGTTCTTTCGTATTTTCCATCTCTTTATCTCTCTGCTGTATTCTGGTAAATTTGTCCAGTCCCACCACTGACTCACTCCTCATTGAGAATTCTCACTGGAGACATTTTTGTTTTTCCTTCATTAAGCTAAAGATGAGCCAAACAGGTTCCTATCACCTCTCTTTGCAGAGGAGGTTTTTCCCCCTATTACCCACAATACCTTTTTTTTTCTTTCAATATGTTTTTATTGATTTCAGAGCGAGAAAGGGAGAGGGAGGGAAAGAGAAACATCAGTGATGAGAGTCCTTGATCGGCTGCCTCCTGCACGCCCCCGACCGGGGATCGAGCCCGCAGTGCCTTTTTGAGGCTCCCAGCAATATAGGGAGTCTCCGACCCATTTGTCACCTGTGTGTAACTGAGGCTTTGCCTCTGATGGCCCTTGAAACCAAGGCTAAGCCACCAGGGGTTAACAGGTACTTTCTGGGCAACCACTGACTTCTATACTTGCCCACTTTTCTAAATTGTTTTATGACCTCCAAGATTTTCCCTTACTTCCTTTTGAACTAGGCAATGGACTGAAATGTATTAGAAATTTTTTTCTGGCATTTTTAAGTGCACCATAAAGTGGTAGCTGTTCAGGCTAGTCTGTCCGTCCCATCTGCAGAAACAGAGCGTTAAGATATTCTCATTCACCTTTGTACTTCTACTGCCCGAACAAGGAGGTGCCCAGCACACAGTTAACGATAAAGAATGTGCCCCGCATCACCGAACAGCGAAGTGCCAGCTGAGGGTAAAATTATGCGCTATCCCCCAAGTCATTTACATAAGTGAACGCAGCTCAGTGTTTTCGCTTGAATTAGACACACATACAGTTAATATTTCACACTCATGTTACGTTGGCCTCCTCTAAGGTATCAAGAGGGTTTTAGGAATAAAAAGAAAATTAGCAAATGTTTTTCTCCATAGCCAAGGAAGCAGTGGTGTTATTAATTGGCAGCTATCATATTTACTTAATTTATTTCTATTTTTGGAATCAACTTGTAATTTAAATAATTTAAAATTATGGAGTAACACTAAAGTACTTACATGTAGCACTAGTTTACTCTTTGCAATGACTTCCTCAAAGGACTCATTTGTTTCCTCTTTCCACAAGCTAATGAAAGTATTAATTTCTTGGGCTATTAAAGGGTCCGGACTCCCATCACACCCAGTGTAGTGTTGCCACTGTAGAATACAAATGTTTGCACGTTCACACTGATGAAATTTAGCCACAGGTTAATTTACTTCTTGTTCAAGTAGGAGTTCTCATACCTAGTTTTCCCAGTTTAGGCTAAAAACATATCAAGCAACCAGTTACTTGAGTTATCTTAAAATAACCAAGTTCCTCTTCAGCAAAATAAGTTATAAGCATCAATAACTCAAAAAATACATCTTTATTGTCATATTTTAATTTTTAAAACAGTATATGAGTTGGTTTTCTTTTGCTTTCCACTCTGACCATATATAGCTCCTATATTTACAAGAGCCAATACTTGGGCTACTTTATACTTCTCAAATTATTACTAATTGTTAATCGCCATTAGCATTTTAGTATGAGCCCTTCCACTCATTTTGTAGTCTATGCAAATTCTACATTTGTAATCATATTGGACTTACAATTCTTTTGCTTAAAATTATACCATAATCATCTTTTGTCATATTATTACAGTTTTCCTTTTTTTCCTGATATTCGTCTATAGTGTTTCTAAAGTTAGTTATGCTGTTATGGGCAACACCGGATTGTCTTAAAATCAAAGTTTTTACATTTTAATTTAGGATAATTTCCTCAGTAAAGATTCCAAAGATTAAATCAAAGGATATAAATGTTTCAAGGATCTTATTATTGACAAATAGTTTTCTGCAAAATTATATGAATTTACTTTGCTACAAGCAATCTGTCAGATTAGATATTTTTTATGGACAATTTAAAGTTTCTTGGGACTAAAAGGGATATTGGACTATAACTCCCTCTTGTGATACAAAAGTAGTAGCTCAAAAAAAAGTCAGTCTTACCTGAGAAAGCAATCTCTTCTCTCGTTTCAGTTTCTCTGCTTCGATAAAACACCCCTCTAACAAATCAAGTTCTTCAAGTTCTTCAGTTTTCCTTTCTAGATCCTGTTGCATGAAGACACAGTGATTTACTCTTTAATTTCAGCTTCATGTTTCACAAGTAGCATCGAAAATTCACTTGGCAAACTATTTAGTTTCAGAATGAATATTAAAATTAGCTTGAATATAACTAATATTTCTAAAAGATTCCATCTGAAACAGTGGTTTGCAAAGTGTGGTTTACAGACTCCTGGTGTATACCAAGGCACTTTTGGGATCTGTGAGGTCAAATATATTTTCACAATAATACTAAGACTTTATTTGCCTTTTTTACAGTGTACACATTTGCACTGATGGTGCAAGAGAGTGTAAAACTGTGGGCGACTTAGTGTAAATCAAGGCACAAACTGTACTAATGGTCATATTCTTCGGGGTGGAGGAGTAGTAAATAGCCAGTTTCACATAAGAATGACTTGATGAAGTAAAAATTATTAATTTTATTAAATGTGAACCTTTAAGTATGTGTGTTTTTAATATTTTGTGTGACAAAATGGGAAGTATGCAAAAAGCATGTCTGCTGCATATCTATGGACAATACTGTCTTTTAAAATAAACACTTGTGCAATTATTTGAGCATTTTGGAACATACTCTCTCACAAATGAATGGAGCATGTCACTTCCAGGAGACAATTTAAAGTATCTGTTGCCAATGATAAAATTTAAGCCTTCAAGTAAATTTCAAATTTTAGAAAATTTGTATCTACCACTGTAAGCTTGAGCGTTTCATTATGTAAATACACACTATGTTAGTGTGTATTTACTTATTTTTATTAATGTTCATTTTTAACAATGCCTAAGCCTATTAATATAATGTTTTTAAATTTCTCAGTTTTCTTTTCTACTATGGCAAATATTGATAGCCATAACCCACATAAACAAAAGCTCCTTGGGGATCTTTAATTTTTAAGAGTAATGAGAGTTTTCCTCCCTGAGATTAAAATATTTCAGAACTACTGATCTGAAAAATTCTGGTGAAAAAGAGAAGTGAAACTAAAAAAGAAGAGGTAGAATTTGAATTCTTTTTTTTTTCTTTTGGTCCCTGTTTATCTATAGAACAGGTTGGGAATTATAACTTAATGTTTACAAACACAGGCTCAGATGCAAGGGTACTTATGTTTAGGTCCTGGCTCTGACCTAGCTTGATTTCTCCACTCCTCAGTTTCCTTATCTGTGAAATGTGGATGATAATGTCATTGATTTTATGGTAGGATTAAAGCCAGTTAAAGAGTTAAGCCAGTTCATACAGGCCTAAACGTTACTGGTAGCTTCTGGAGGAGAAAGGTATTAAACGGCCCAACAGACCTGGTAGCCATAAGGTCTGTCTTCACTAATAATATCATTAACATTTATTTACCTTTGCTTCAAGTTGTTGCCATTTTTCATTCTCAATTCGTTTCAGTTCAAGTCTTTCCAGTTCTTCTTTTTCATATTTCACACGGGCTTCCTCTAAAGAACCAAACAAAATTTTTTTTCTCAGTGAGATAATCAATCTATTTTTAAGCCCTTAAAGTTACTTCAAACATTTGCAAGATGTACTGATAGTAATATATTTTATACAAGTCACAACCTTTATTATGTGATAGAAATAAGACAAGGGCTAGGTTTCTTCCCAAAAAAGTAGCATGACTAAATTTTCTAGGCAAAAAAACATAGGCCCATAGTGATACTTCTCTTCTCTAAAATGTTTATAATGATCCAAAAATGATTTTAGCCAATTAAAAAAAAATAACAGATCTATCATGGGTAATTAGGAGAGGTAACATCTTCAGAAGATTTCCATAATCTCCTGATATCTGCATCATCAAAACAATAACCTCAGTCTTCTCTTGCTTTCAATATCAAAAGGAAAATACGATACATATGTTAAAGAATATAAGCTTAACCCAATATAATAAAACATTGCCCAAGATTTAGATCCTGATGTTCTATTCTTATCATGAGTCACCTAAAAAGGATTTATATGATTATACATAAATAATTAGCATAGATCCTAAAGATAGACTTTTTTAAAACCTAAATCTTAATCCACAGATGTTCTTAGTGTTAAAAGCTAAAAACCTCTTGAAATATTCAGATTTTTTAAATGATTTTGGGTATTTTTAAATAACCAATGTTTTTACCAATTTTAATTGACATTTTTAACAAATGAAAATCCTCTTTAAGTTTGGCAAATAAATATTAAACTATAAGAATCTAGGCAGCTGTGTGTATTTCTTGCTAGTGTATATTTCCCATACTTAATGAATTTGAGTTTCAGAATTCTCACTGTACAATCAGCACCAATGACCCTATTTCATCAGTAAATATAAACAAGTACGGTTGCAGAATTAACAAATAAAAATAAAGGATGCTCAGTTGAATTTTAATTTCAGATAATGAACTCATTTTTTGGTTTAAGTATGTCCCAAACCTTGCATAGGGCAAATTACACCAAGTTACCCATTGCTTGTCTGTACTGTATTTTATCTGGCAACTCTCCTTCATTATATACCTGAAAGTGATTTGTGTGTGCTATCAACTTTCTGGGTACCATTTAAATTGTAGGTATCTATTATAAAAAATTAAAGAATTTTCAAAATTCTTTTAAAATATATTGACTGGATTACAGAAATATCAACCTATGGCCGGTATGACCTACATATGAAAATAGCATCACTGTGTATTTTGTACCTTCCTCTTTTTGCCGCCTCTCTTCCTCCTCTTGTAGCAGCTTCAGTCGTTCAGCTTTGGTGATTTTCTTCTTGTTGCCAGACTTAACGGAGGACACAACATTTTAACAAAAGGCTATTAACTTAAATAACTTAAAATAACTTAACACCCAAATAACTTAAAAACACACATAACTCAAATAATAATTATGAAAAACATTGTTGCTTCCATGAATCCAGTCTTTCACTCATTCAAATAAGACTGCCTATTATGTGCCAAGCCTTGACTCAGTGCCTTAAGGACAAAGTATGGAAACAAGTAAGAAAAATAAGCATATAAATTATTCAACAGCAAGAGTAATAGTGACAAGTATGTACAATTTAAGTAACTCTCTCATTCCTTGTTTTCCCATCTCTAAACTGGTGCTAAATAGAACCTCATTTCACTGTTGTAAGGATTTAAAAAATATATATGTAAAAACAGTTTTAATAGTGCAACATGTCTATAAAAATTAAAGACATTTTTATGACTAACAGATATACAGAAAATTATTTTGCAAGTGTGAAGGAAGGAGAGATTATTTTCAAGAGCTGGGACCAAGTAAAATTTTATAGAGTAGACAGTATTTAAGTTTGTGCCCCCAAATATTTAACATTCAGATATGAGGGGAAGATATCTCAAAAAGAGGGAAGATATGGAATTTGGAGGGCATTGGAGAAGCCAACATGTTCAGTGGACTCTGGGAAGATCCAAGAAGAGATGATATGGAAATGAGGATGGAAAAGACAATTGGAGCTTATGCTATAGAATTCAGACATTATCCTAAAAGGAATGGAAACTCCCTAAAAGTTTTTGAGAAGAGCTATGACTATTAAGAATATAATTCTGAAAACTAACCTACTATTAGGGAAAAATGATTATAAAAAGGATACCATTTTAGTTACTATTAACAATAGTTAACTAAAGTCATGACCAGAAATGCAGAAAGGAAAATAGATCCAATAAATATTTTATAAACTAAGTTATTTGATAATGATTAAATTAGAGGTAAGGAAAGGGAGGAGTGAGAGAAGAGTTTAAAAAAGAAGAATGGTAGTCCAGAACAAATAAGTTTGTAAGAGAAACTGCTTAAAGGAATTTAAGTATAATTAGTACGAAGTACTGGTGGTGCATCCAAGAAATGCTGCAGGCATTAAAATTAGAAGACTGAGGTTTAGCAAAGAGATCAGGGCTATGGAGTACAGATCGGAGAACTACCATGGTGATAACCACCCTCCCCCTCCATTTTCCCTAAGGAAGAGTATATGAAGAAAAGACCATCATCTAAATTTAGGAATCAAGAGTGATTGATCCTTGGGATATTCACTCTTGGATGACCATCTTCAATTTTTGGCTCACTTACCGCAGGATGGCCCATTGGAATCTCCTATCCATTAGCCCTACCACTTCTTTACTGTTCACCCACGGCCCTCACACCAGCTCTTCTTACTTACCCAGCTTAGGTTTCATAGTTCATCACCATAACACTAACATGTATCTCCACCTTCCCTAGGTTCCTCTCCTCTGAGAAGCTCAGCTGGCCAATTCCTACTTCTACTTAGATTGAACTCTCCGTTTATTCCGTTTATTCTTTGCTGGCAACATGAGCAGCTGATCCTTGCCAGAGACAAAGAATGGGTTCAAATTTATAAGTGCAAATTTTAAATAGGGTCTAAGCACCATCCAGTCTTCTTACTATTTCATCATCCTCGCTCTTCAAAGCCCTCAAATCCTTGGCTCTTTCCTACTCTCAGCCGTTGACCTCACCTCTTATATTACTAGAAACTTGGAGAACAAAACAGTCTCCTTACACAGCGAATCTTAGAAACTACCTGTACCTTTGTCTGCCTTCCTTCCCATTACAGTGGGTGAACGGTAGGCACTTCCCTCCATCTAGGCCTGAAGCTGCCACTTGTACATGGATCACGTCCCTGATTGCCTATTTAAGACTTGACTCCTGGAACACCTTTAGTCATTCATGAATTTCTCCCTTCCTAGACTTCACAGCCCTCTCCACCGTTGGCTCCGATTCTGGTACTCTTTATATCAGACCACCTCTAAGCGGTTGTCCGCTGCTTTCACCTCCCCATTTTCTGCATGGTCCAATCAGGCTTTCCTTTTTATTGCTCCATTAAACCTCTCTATCAAGGGCCCTTAAAGATGGCCATGATTCCAACGCCAGCGGCCAATTTTCAGCCTTCATTCTACTCTACTCATCTGTTACTATCTTACAGTGTTTTCTTCCTCCTTGAAATGTTTCCTTCCTTTGGCCTTTAGGTCAGTACTGATTTTGCTGCTTCTCTCACATTTCCCTCCTTCTCAGACTTCTTTTCTGGCTTCTCTTCCTCAGTGTAGCTGACCCGTAACTTTCAGAACTGTCTGTTCAGACGTTCCCTAAAAGAGTTTTTAAAAGCTACGTACCCCTTCGCATGTTTTTAAGTTGGCATTGAAAACGTTTCACCACAAGTTTAAATAGCTGCAAATGTTTCCAACATATGACATAAAACTTTTACCTTGCTCTTTTAAATATGTCGATCACTACTTAAAATACATCCAATGGAATCTACATATCATGGTGATTTAATGGCCAATATTATTAATTTTTTAAAAATGTGAACGAGCTTTTCTTTAATAAAAATTTTAACCCTTTATCTTCTTGGATGGTTATTTCCGTTCTACTTCCACCACGGAATCTTAGCCTAATGTAATATACTTGGAGATGTTCGCTGATCCTCCTACCATAAGTATCTATTACAAAAATGGGCATGAAAATTTTAAAATTTTATTTCCTTGTCTCTAAGCTGCCAAGTAATAAATATCTTACTCTGGACTGAGTTAATCTTATAATTTTTTTATACAATTAAACAAAGCAACATATTGTATTACAAATTTTAGTAATTAACATGAGAAGTAAAATTTTACTAGCTATACATCTCTTGATGGGATGGTTGAGTGTTTTCTTTTCCTGAAACAAGGATTCAGACAAATTTAATTTTAATTTTCATGAATATAAGAAATTAGAAATCTGGTTTATATTTAAAGTCTAGAGATGGGGATAGGTTTCTTACAGCTATATCATTAGTTCTTTGAATTCTTTCCACATCACATACCAAAAATTAAATTGATTTACCAAAATAATTACCCCTAGATATAATCACTAAAGTTTGTGATGATTTTCTTGTTTTCCTTTAAAGTTTCATTACATATGTATATATTTCTAAACAATATGGTTCACTTATTTTTGAATTTTACATAAATCCATTTTTCTGTAGTTTATGTATATGATTATAATTTGCTTATTTTCTTACTGTAGTAAAGTACAACAAAATTTACCATTTTAACCATTCGTAAGTGTGCCAGTCAGTGGCAGCAAGTACATTCATATTGTAGTACAATCATCACCACCATCCGTCTCCAGAAATTTTTCATCATCCCAAACTGAAACTATGTATCATTAAACATTAACTCCCCTTCCCTGGCAAACCTGTCACCTTTCAACCACCATTCTACTTTCTCTGAGTTAGACAACTCCAGATATTTCATATAAGTAGAATAATACAATATTTATCCTTTTATGCAATTTACTTTTTAGATACACATATGGTTTGTAAGGTTCAACCATGTTGATGCATATAGTTATAACTGTATATTTTCACTGCGGAATAGTAACTCATTAACTTATTTATTCACTCTCCTACTGATAGACATTAGGGTTTCTAGTTTGTTACTATTGTGAATAACGCTGCTATAAACCTTCAAGTGTATGTATCCTGGTGTCCATTTGAAAGAGTTTCTCTACAGTGTATATCTCACAGTAAAACTGGTGCATGTGTATTTTTAACATACTGAAATTTAACTTTCCAAAGTAATTATTCCAACTTATACTCCCATAATGATTATCCAAATCAATATTTTCTAATTTCAGCACTGTTGCTTCTCTGGCAGGTTTTTTGTGTGTGTTTTTAAATATAGATACTTTCATCAGGCTAAGTAAGTGCCCTTTAGTCTATTAAGTGGTAAGGTGCAGTAACTGAATTTCTAACTCAGTCTAATTGTATTCATTTAATTTCTTATATTAAATCAATTCTGCCTTCAAGGGATAAACTGAACCGGGTCATAATTTATGTTAATTTCTCATTTAACATCATGGATAGGTTCTGCAACATTAAGCAAAATGATGTATAGCAAAAACAATTTTACTATAGGCTAACTGATAGAAATGAGTTAGGCTCCTACAGCATCTCATCAAAGTTATAACAAAACAATGTTATTCAACGGCCATACTTCCAGATTAGATTGCTAACATTTTGTTTAGATATTTTGTATTTATGTTCATGAATGGCCTTTAATTTTCCCTTCTCATACTATTCTCGGGTTACTGCATAGAGCAAGAGCAGAGTGGACTTTTGGACACCTTTTGACAATCCAACATGGAGTAACTGTCAGCTATGAGTTATGTCAAGTAGCATGAAGCCCAGAAATGAGGTAATGGAGTATACTGGGAAAGCTCTTGGGAGAGGCCCATAATCCCCAAAGTCGTAAGTCTAGAAACTTGGATAAGGCCTCCATCTGGACATGGATATGAGTGGGACCACTGCCCATCGTGGGTTATAAAAACTAGATCTCCAACCATTCGACCATTCCACCCTCCAGCTTGGCTGTACCATCTATCACCCTCAGAGGCCTGCAGGACTTCCACACCACTGGACGTGTGCCACCACTGTAGCCACCTGGCTTGAGACCAACCCCCAAATCTCCACCACTGGTTAGTGAATGGGACTTGCTCTTGCTGGCTTCTATTGGGGAAGCTCCCCCTCCTCTCAGTGTGTAATCTGAGTGTGACTCTATTTGCTTATTGGGGAGGTCTCCCCTAATAAACTTGGCATTGTGGAAAGACAAAGACGTGTGTGAGTGGTTCCTTTAGAGGATGCTCCTTTGTTTACGACAGTTACACGGGTAACCAAAATGAATTAGGAGTGCTCCCTCTTTTTACATGCTCTAAAAGAATTTGTACGAAAATGAAATTACTTATCTTTGAATGAAAAACTAGTTAACAAGAACTTG